CCGTTGCTGATGTATTAGCCAAAATTGCTACTATTATACTGGGAATAACAGTAGAGGTGATGGTAGCATCCAGTAGCTAGTAAAAACAAAGACATGACATGATCTACTGAAATCTCAGATAGACTAAAAGGATTTTTTCAGCACTCTCAGTCCTTGTTTGGGGCACTCTAAGGGTGTGGACAGACTGCAGCCTTGTTACTAATTGGCCAGATGAGAGCATGGAGCAGAGCACACTCTCCACAATGGACATCTTTCAAAATGCATTGTACAATGAGAAAGACATAATGCAAGATGGTTGGATTGAATTTCTATGAGGAAGAATCAGTGGAACTTATTCACTACTCTCTCTCTCAAAAAAAAAAAAAAAAAAAGTTCTTTCTTTTGAACTGGCTTTTATTAGGAAGGTATGGCCTAGAAGGAATGACCAAGGCAGGAAAAAAATCTGTAAGATTAGTAATACAAGGTGGACCAGGAGGGATAGAAGGTGGAATGCTGCTAAGTTGAAAACTCTCTGAGAATAGAAGACCCTTTTCCATCTCAATGCACAAAATTAAGCACAATGCTGTTGTTGGACCAGTGCCTAAAGAACATAAGTGAAAAGACATATGATTCACTGAAGTACATTACTCAGGCAGACAAACTTATTTGAAGACTTCCATGTAGATATGATGACTGTAATTTTAAGAGAATATTGTCTGGATTGTTTAAAATACGTCTCATCATGTTTTACACATTTCAATTTGCTTGGTAATATGATATCCTTATGGTAACTGTGGGACAATATTGCACTTAAGCAAAGAAAATACAGCTGAGTTTTGACACTATGGCTGTTATTTCTAACTGCTCACACTTACATATAGAATTTTGTATTCTTTTATTGTATGTTTATGTCTGTGTTTATAACACATATATATACACACAGTAAATGTTTATATAGACAAATACATTTTTTATATTGTAACTATTTGGGAAATGTAAGGACTAGAAAGGTCCCTACTTATTCAAGATAGATACATGGAAGTAGAGGAAATTATTTATTTTGCAAAAGAGATGCTTAAACTGACTTGCACTGCCCGAAGAGGCAAGGCATCATTACAAATAACCTTGAAAGGTGATTTGCTATTTTGGACATTGTGTCATTTCCTTGAAGTAATTCCTATAGACCAAAGTTTGTTTACATGTAATTTGCATGATCAAAACTCTCAAATTTAGTGAAAGATCCTTGGGTTTTCAACTTCAAATATGACATAATCTACCTTTTCCTTTCTTGTTAGACATCTTTTTCAAGAATGGATATAGTTTCCTCAAGTTCACTGTAATGTTGCACCAGCAATATTTGACTCCTATGGCATGCATCATCACTGACTTGGTCACACATTAGGTGACACTGACTTGTCTTCACAGTGCTAGGGTTAATTCTGTGTATCAAACATGGAAAATATGATGTGAGAAGGAAACTTGGAAACTGTGATGAAAGAAGTAACCTTTTTAATGTATTCTTCTAACGTGTTCTTTTGTAGTCATAAAAAGAAACATAATTTAGTATTAGAAGTTTTTTAGGACAGCTGATTAATTATGATTACGAAGTGTTCTGTAGTAATAGGGTATTTTCCCTTTAGGATTGCCCTGAATCTTTTTCATTTGAGAGAACATCTGATTTTAGATCAAACAGTTGTTTCTCAAAGGGGACTGGCTTCCATCAAGATGAGCAATTGCAAAAGTTAGTACCCCTTCACAAAACATACAAAGGGAAATCCTCCCTTGATTCCCATCAGCTTTTGGAGATGTAAATGTAACCTCTGCTCATAACTCATCTGAACACAACTTCTAGCACAACTTGGTAAGGTAATATATAAACATGTATATATTATCTTTTTGGTTTTGGCAACTGCTGAACTCTGAAGTGTTCCAGAAGGACCCTACACACACTTCTTACATTTCAGAAGGGGTACAGTCTCTTCGCTCAGTTAGCCATCATGGTTGACATCAAAAAGTAGGGCTAACTTGTCTATTACTCTTCTGCTCTCTCTCAGTATTTCTTAATTCTGCATAAAGGTTGGTAATAATTGCATTTTATGATCTTTCTTATTTTGTATTTAACCTACAAGTAAATACTATTTAAATAATGAGTTCTATAAGCTACAAGTAAATGCCATTTAAGCAGTGAGGATTATTTTAGTTCTCTTAAGGCTGCAAGTAATGATTCAGGGAGGTACCTTATTTTATGTTGCTGTGCTGAAAAAGATTTTTATAGATTTTTTTTTTCCATTTCCTACATCTTACTCTTGCAAAAGGAAAGATAATGACAGATTTATTTATTTATTCATCTATTTATTTATTTATTTTAGGGTTCTGGTTCAGTTGTAAAAGTTCAGCATTAGCTAATTTGGAGCTGGTTAAATGCTTAGGAGCAATCTGTCTGCTCTTACATAGAAGTACTATTAATGTGCCAGCTACAGTTATATTGAAACAAGCTTAGATGGCTTTATGTCCCCACAGAGGATGGAGATTTAAACTTTGAAATAAAAATGGCATAAAGATCCTCTTTAAATAGAGGGTGGGTAAACTGGCAGCGCTTTGTGGGAAGTGAGTAATGGACAACTTTGCATGGCAGCCATTGTACTTTTAAGTTTGAGCAATGTGTTTCTACATTGGACCAATTTCATTCATATACTTCAGAATGCTGAAAAGGTCACCAATTTCCACATAGGCCCTCACTGTATATTCCTTATGCATCCAACACTGCTTGAGTTGAGCTTTGTGGAGCTGTAGCTGTGAGAATTTGGAGGAAAGAGAACTATGGATGCAGGAGACATACACCCGGCATGCTCCACCCACATTTCTGTGAAGAAAGTTGAGCTGTGTATCAAACTAATATCAACATTCATAATTCAGTATTAACCACCATGTCCTGACTACCTTTTTGGTATTTAAAGAATGACACTATTAGTTAGAGAAAACAAGTGCAGTCAGAATCTGGAGCTGACTGATAATTAAATTTGACTAGAAACTGAAAAAATAGTTGACATGATAGGGACATGAAGATATACTGTATAATGTCATTTTCAATGCATCATCGTAACTTGACACTGGCCTTTCAGTTTAACAATAATTAACATCTCTTGACTGTTTGTTTATAGTATGTCTCAATGTTTTGTGTTGGGAATTGTAAAAGATGCATGATTGTGCTGTTTCTGTTCAAGTTGTTTCTAATTAATAACTTCACTGTCCAGTGTTCTTTCAATAAGGGTACCTAATACAATATTTACATTATTTTAGGTATAGAGAAACTGACTTTTCAACCACATTGAATGATGCATCTCAATATGCAACAAGAACATATGCGTGTGTATATCTGTGCACGTATACACATACACATGTGTTTATTGGCTTAGACACAGTCTCTCACTTCTTTCCTACTCTCCTTGAGCTTTACAAATTTCAGGCATCTGGAAGGAATCATGGCTTTTCATGAAGGTTGAAAGTCATAAATCTTGAGATTAATTAAAATACACTGTTACTGTGATATTCACTAGAATGTCCTCTCTCCCCCAAATTTGGCACATTAAATAACATTTAAAAAGGTCTAATTACTAACAGATGCTATATAATGCAGGATTCTTTGACCTGCACAAATATCTAAGTAAGCTGAGTGACTGTCATTTTATCCCTTTGATCTTGTAGCCACTAAATTACATACATGTTTTTTTCTTCTTCTGTTTCTACAATAGAAAGCATTTACCTTTCTTTTATGTTCTAAGTATCCACTGTTGTTTCATGCTAGAAACAAAACACTGACCTTTGCGGGTCCTTGGGCTGACCCAGCATAGTTGCTGTTCTTTTGTTCAATTCTGTGGTAGCTAAATTTTGACTCTTTTTCTGGAGTCTTAATAATTTGTCTTTCAAGCAAGAAAGGAGTTGCTTTCAATAAGGTTTGAAATTCAGCAATAGAAATATAAGGAAATTTTCAGGTTGTTAACTTATTAACTGGAAGTCTGTCTTACTTATAAAAATTTAAATAATTAGAGAAGAAATATACTCTGAATATTCATACTAATTCCAGTGAGTTTTGTGTAAAGTTTAACATTATATCTCAAGTACTATTCTTAAAGCATATTTGCAACATAAATTAAATGAAGAAAAGTTGGTTTTAAGTCTTAGAATAATAAAGATACTTTCAGCATAATACATAAATCTTAATAGCAATGCACACATAAATCTATTTTAGCTTAATTATATCAAGTAGCAAAAATATGTTTGGGACTGTGACAACATTTGTGTGAGCTTTCTCATTTGAAAGGATGCTCCTGGCTTTGAATTTCAAACACTGCCTTTGTAGCAGGTGGACAAAAACAATCCTTTGTTTTTTAAGAAAGACAGCTAATTACATGTCTGCCTCACATTCAGTTAAATCTTTGGTGACAGGCTTTGAAGAGAAAGGTTTATGTTTGACTTTCTTTTGCTTGGTCTTTGATTATGGTTTGGGGTTTTTTTGTTTGTTTTTAATACAAAAACTTCTCAGTTTTATCTGAGAAGTTCCTGAAACCACTGTTAATAGTAAATTGTTCTTTGGAGAAAGCTTTGACAAAATCTCGAATTTGAAACAGAACCTGGAAAAGTGTAAAGTTACTGGAAGGAGAGTGCCTTCCTTCCCATTGCCTGAGAATTATTTTTTTTAAATACAAAAAAAACCCCTGAAAAACCACCAAAAAAACCCCAAAAACAACAGTGGTTGCATGGTAGACTAAAGCAACCTTATTCTGGTCTGAAGGCAATACACCGTTATACAGTAATATACTGTATTTATGGAATTGGGGTTTCTTGAGTATTTTTTCTGTTGTTTCCCAAGCATCATTCTAAATACAGTTTTCTGTTTGGTCACTACTTGGATAATGTGAATGGTACCCATTATTGAAAGGTAGTCTGTATTTGTAGTAATACAGAGAATGCCAGTTTAGAAATGAGCCTGATTGCATGGTTCATTTTGTTCTCCTTTGTAGAGCCAGGCTGCGGCCCACTACAAAGGCACTAAACATGCCAAGAAGCTCAAAGCACTGGAAGCCATGAAAAATAAGCAGAAATCTGTTACTACCAAGGACAGCGCAAAGACTACCTTCACTTCCATCACTACCAATACCATCAATACCAGCTCTGACAAAACAGGTTAAGCGGCAATCTTTGTTGATTTTGTTTGTTTGGCTTCTTTTCTTGTTTAATTCCATGTCTGTTTGGTGATGTGCTTGCCACATTGATTCATGCTCGATCCATCTTTCTGTGTGATATTGATTACTTTTAGTCGTTTCAATAGGCTGGTGAGATAGTCATATAACCGATTTCTCTTAGTGAAAAGAGGCTTGTCATTCTTTTAGGACAAAATGCAGTACTCATGACTTGATTACTTGTTTAGTGGCTGAACTATTACATCAACTGATCTAAACCTCCTACTATATATGCAGTATCTCTTTTATAAATAATTACATATGGCACATTTAACCATAAGCAATGTAACAAAATGCACTACTTGTGTCTAGAAGCCTCTTACAAAAGCATTGTTAGTAAAAACATAATTTTCATAAATTTCAAACATTGCATTATTTTTTTAAAATGTCTATTGCATGGGTTTGAGCTGGAAAATAGCTGTATAACCTCTATTCTACACAATCAGGTAAGTGCTATTGATGCCAATTATTCTGCTTAAATGAGTCTTCAGACTGAAATAATATCCTTTAAATTACTGTGTGGGTAAAAGGTACTCCTTTGCAAATAAAATGTATGTGAGTACTTGGTAAAGCCAACAGGATTTGATTAAGCTCACATTTTAAGTATGTGGCTATTGTACCGGAAATTTCAAAGGAATATTGTGTGTTCACTGAAGGGTAGTCTAGTATCTCACAAGGTATGACTGCTCTTGTGTATGAAGGAATACAGTTTGCATATTAAGTCATAATCAACAACCCCCTCCCCAAACAAGCCAAACCTAGCTACAGAAAAAAAGTCAAAGTCGTGAAACAGCAGAGACCTTTCTACTGATGCTGAAAACTGCTCATTTGGAATCACTTCAGATGCAGTAAGTTTAGCATTGTAAATAGATGTGAACTAATTGACTATAGGATAACAAAAAAGTACCTTGCAGACATGTGTAGTATTTTCCTTAAGATATATCTTTGTCCTATTTGTTTTAGACAGTTACCTCTATGTCTATGTTTCTCTGTATATCTTTTTTATAGCCCTTTATTATACAGAGAATATGTTTTTTATGGAGATCTATATCCTAATTATAAGAGGATTGCCTTAAAACAATTGTTATAATATCTGTGCTACCCCCACAAAAAAAAAAAAAAAGAAAGAAGTAAGGAAAATATTCTGAATACCTTTGTTTCTATGATGAAAGAAATGAAGCCTGGGAGGATAGGAACAAAGATGGGGAATGTCAAAAGTTATTTACAAAAATATATGTATTTCTAAACATATGAATACCTTTAAATGTTTCTCCTGGTCTCACCTGTTGGCATGTTCAGAACAGAAAGGGGGATGTTGCATGGAAAGTGTGATTTATTGTTTACAATATATGATCTAGTGGGTGGAGGAAATAACTAAAGAAAAAAGACATTCTTTTAAGCTTTAAAATGTATTATTTAAAAGCTTTTGTCTTACTCAGTGTAAGTTTGAAGGATTTTCCAAGGTGCCTTAAAACCAGTCTGCCTTTCCATCAGGCTTTGATATATGAACTGTCTTGTATCCAAGGTCAGTAATACAAATCAGTTTTATATCAGCATAAGTAAGAAAACATCAGAAATGTAGTTGCACACAAAAACAGTGGCCTATGCAAAAGTTTCCTCAGCTTTACACATTGTTTGTGAGCTTGTGGATTAATTTCATAGAATGTGTGTGTACATATATGTACTCTTTGTTAGAGGTACTGACCTTGATGGCATTCTAAAAGTCACATGTTCATATTAGTTGACAAACAGGCCAGAATCTGACCATTTCACAAAATACTGAGAGCCATATTCAACTGCTGACAAAAGCCCCATTCAATCAGTGGCATTCGAAGAAAGGTGGTCATTTCTATCCAAATGTAGTTATTACAGGTCAGCATTGATGTGACTGGCACTAGAATAGCTTTCTCAGTGTAAATCATCCTCTGTAGAATCAAGCATGTATGCATAGAGGGAGAAAAAAAAAAGGGGGGGCGGGGGA